ACATTTCTTAAACTGATAGAGGCCATCTCTAGCAAACCCACAGCCAATATCGTATTGAACAGAGTTAAATTGAAATCATTTCCACTCAGATCAGGAAGCAGACAAGGTTGCCCATTATCTCCATTGCTCTTTAACAGTGTAATGGAAGTTTTAGCCATCGCAATTAGGGAAGAAAAGGCAATCAAGGGTATCCATATAGGGTCAGAAGAGATCAAATTTTCACTTTTCGCAGATGATATGATTGTATCCTGGAAAACACCAGGGATGCTACTGCAAAACTCTTAGAAGTGAACAAAGATTATAGCAGTGTCTCAGGCTACAAAGTCAACACTTATAAATCTATAGCCTTTATATATACCAACAATAGTCAAGCTGAAAAAATAGTCAAGGACTCTACTCCATTCACAGTAGTGCCAAAGAAGATGAAATATTTGGGAGTTTACCTAAAAAGGACATGAAAGATCTCTGTAAGTAGAACTATGAAATGCTAAGAAAAGAAATAGCTGAAAATGTTAACAAATGGAAAAACATACCATGCTCATGGATGGGAAAAATCAACATTGTTAAAATGTCTGCACTATGCAAAGCAATATACAATTTTAATGCAATCTCTATAAGAGCTCCACTGTCATACTTTAAAGATCTCAAAAAAATAATACTTTGTTTTATATGGAATCAGAAAAAAAACCTCAAATAGCCAAGACATTACTCAGGAATAAAAACAAAGCAGGAGGAATCACGCTACCAGACCTCAGACTATACTATAAATCTATAGTGATCAAAACAGCATGGTACTGGCACAAAAACAGAGAGGTAGATGTATGGAACAGAATAGAGAGCCAGGACATGAACCCAGCTACTTACCATTATCTGATCTTTGACAAGGCAATTAAAAACATTGAGTGGGAAAAAGATTCCCTATTTAACAAATGGTGCTGAGTGAACTGGCTGGCGACCTGTAGAAGATTGAAACTGGACCCACACTTTTCACCATTAACTAAGATATACTATCACTAGATTAAAGATGTAAATTTAAGACATGGAACTATAAAAGTATTAGAAGAAAATGTAGGGAAAACACTTGAAGAAATCAGCCTGGATAAAAATTTTATGAGGAGGATCCCTCAGGCAATCAAAGCAACATCAAAAATACACAACTGGGACCTGATCAAACTAAAAAGCTTCTGCACAGCCAAGAACACAATAAGTAAAGCAAGCAGACAGCCCTTAGAATGGGAGATGATATGTGCTGTTACGTCTCTGACAAATGTTTAATAACCAGAATCCACAGAGAACTCAAGCATATTAGCAAGAAAAGAATAAGTGATCCCATCTCAGGCTTGGCAAGGGACTTGAAGAGAAACTTCTCTAAAGAAGACAGGTGCATGGCCTACAGACATATGAAAAAATGCTCATTGTCATTAATCATCAGAGAAATGCAAATCAAAACTACTTTGATTTATCATTTAACTCCAGTAAGATTAGCCCACATCACAAAATCCCCAAACCAGAGATGATGGTGGCATGGATGTGGAGAAAGGGGAACACTTCTATACTGCTGGTAGGAATGCAAACTAATACGTTCCTTTTGGAAAGATGTTTGGAGAACATGTAGAGAACTAAAAATAGACCTGCCATTTGATCCTGCAATTCCTCTACTAGGTATATATCCAGAAGACCAAAAATCACACTACAACAAAGATATTTGTACCAGAATGTTTACTGCAGCCCAATTCATAATTGCTAAATCATGGAAAAAGCCCAAGTGCAGATGAATCCACGAATGGATCAATAAATTGTGGCATATGTAGACCATGGAATATTATGCAGCCTTAAAGAAAGATGGAGACTTTACCTCCTTCATGTTTACATGGAAGGAGCTGCAACATACTGTTCTTAGCAAAGTATCTCAGGAATGGTGGGAAAAGTATCCTATGTATATTCAGCCCTATTATGAAACTAGTTTATAGCTTTCATACGAAAGCTATAGCCCAATTATAGCCCAAGAATATGGGGATGGGGAAGAGGGAGGGCAAGGGTGAGAGTAGAATGGGTGCTGGGAGGGTGATTGGTGGGACCACACCTATGGTCCATCTTACTAGGGTACATGTGAATCTTTCTAAATGCAGACTATAAATGTCTTAACACAATAACTAAGAAAATGCCATGAAGGCTATGTTAACCAGTTTGGTGAAAATATTTCAAATTGTATATAAAACCAGAACACTGTACCCCATGACTGCATTAATGTACATAGCTATGATTTAATTTTTTTAAAAAAAGACAATAAATGGTGAAAGAGCCCTAATTGCAGAGTATGGTACTAACAGTGGCTCCAGACCTGAGGCTTTCTTGGTTTATAGTTGGGTGCCCCAAGGCTGCCAGGTGTAGGTGTGCTGCTGGAGGCCCCCCTCAGTGGGTCAGCATTTTTCTTCAGAACAGACCTTGTTGTAATTGTTCTTTGAACTTTCTCTTTCAATTACTATAGTAATTATTTGTTTGTTTAGCTGTAGATTACTTTTGAATTTGTTTCCTACTCTAAATATGCAAGTACTTATACTATACACACCCCTCCATTTCTGTTCCCTTATTTATCCTACCTAATAAGTATTTCCTTTAGAAACCTAATTTCTGAGTTTTAATTTTCTTTAACTGAATGGAATAGAGCATACAAATGATGTCTTTTAATCTCTCCAGCTCCTTAAACCCTTTTGTTTTCACATGCTAGAGGCTCCCTGGCAAGGTGATACTCTGGTCTAGAGTCCTATGCAATTTTAATCCTCACACACTCTGCTCCTGCTCCTCCAGGTCTCTCAGGTCAGCAGAAGGTTGTTTGCTTTTTGTTTTTCTTCATTACAAGGGAGTCACAGCATGTACAGATTTAACCCAGACACTGACTTTAGAACCTAACCCTAGTAGAAAGAGTGACTTTGCTGTGCTCTTACCTTCCTTATGGCACTACTGCCAGGCATATGTTCTTACACTGGGAGCATTTTTATTAATGTACGTCAGTATATCTTCTTTGTTCCCTGCTTAGAAAGCCCCAAGTTCCCTAGACATGGCACTTCGGTGTAGGAAGTCAGTGGAAGGCTTTCAGTTTGGAGCAAGAAAAAGCTTGAGTAAAGAGAGCTGAAACACTGAGGATTTATTTATCTGATTTAGTCAGGAACACAAAGTTAGGCAATCATAATGTTGGTAGAGTGGTCTAGTGATTCTGGGGTTATGGTCTTCCCCTTAGAATTTTAGTATTGCTGCCCTCTCTAAGCCTCATACTAAAGCGGAAAATATAGTAGGGCTTTCTGTCCATTCTAAAGCAGGAAATATGGTAGGGCTTTCTGTGTGCATGTGTGTATGTGTGAAAGAGAGAGAAAGATCAAGAAGGAATAACTTTCCCATTGACCCCATGTGTGCCTGCTCATATATCTCATTGTCCAGCATTATGTCACATCCTAGTCTGGTCGTACAGGAGAACACAATGTTTGCAGTATTCAGACTCTGTAATGGGAGATGGGCTCTGACAGCAAGGGGAGGATGAGAATGGCTGTTGGGTGGGTAGTCCATAGTATCTGTATGTGTGTATATGTGCATGTGCATGGTGGGGAACACAGAGAGTCAGAGAAGGAGAAGAGAAATTGAGATTGGCCTTCTGTATAGATGAAGACTCTGTTTCCCAGATGCAGTTGTGTCTGGATCCACAGCAAACTTTAAATGGCCTACCACAGTGGAGAGTAGAGGGTGGTAATGGCATTTGGGCAGAAATTGCATTTGCTTCCTATGACACAATCAGGACTTTATATTTTGTTTTAGTTACTTGAAATCTTGGTTTCATGATTTCAGGCTGAGTCCAGAAATCTTCCTGAAACGCCCAGTGGTTGAAGGAAATCGTTGGAGGTTGGACTGCATTCTTAAACGAAAAGCAGTATGTACTTTCCCAGCAAATGCTAATATACTGTTTAAGTGCTTATTGCCTCTGAAATACCTTTTCTTTTTAAAGCATTTTGAAAAGAAACTTTTTATCTTAGAGTTAGACAAAAGTAAGAAACTTTTTATCTTAGAGTTAGACAAAAGTAGGATAAGTAATGTTTTCCAGTTCATTTGGTTCTATTTTTTTCCTATTCCCTTTGAGTGTATAAATATTTTAGCTTAATTCAGCAAGGATTATATTAGCATGTCTAATTTTTATTTTTTAAAAATCAGTTATGGACAGTTAATTTTATAGGCAAAAGGTTGTAATAAAATTTGTCATTGAATAACGAATGATAAAATTAAACTTAGCATTTCATTTGATTCATTATTTTGTCACTTAATCAAAAGATAAAAGTTATTTGGAGAATGGTTTCAGTCCTATGGGGCCAACAAGCTGGGGTAGAAGAATATCTAAGAGGGGTGGACGGTAACAGTTGGTGGAAGGTTAACTTTTTGGGAAATTTTCCAAAAGTGTTAACTTTTTGGATAGTTAATGACAATAATGTGAAACTTTTTCCTGTGCACTTGACTCTGAACATTCTGGGTGAGCACTGAGTGTTTTTTTTTTTTTTTTAATTATGGAAAGTAGATAACTGAAACAGGACAGGCTCACCAATGATTACTTTTATATTCCTAGTGAGTTTTTCAAAAGTAATGGACCCTCAACCAAATTAGGTTAAATTAGAAATAAAGCTGTATTTATTACTTAGCACACCCAAATTAGTATTACTAACCTTTTTAACTATCATTTGAGGCTATGTTATCCTGTTTTTACATCCTATCATTGAACATGCTAGCGGACTTGTAATCCTGGGTAACTGGAAGAGTAGCATTTTCCTGTTCTTACACCCTTCACTCATTTCTTCTCTCCTGTCCTCTGCGTTCCCCACCCGCTTCCCCCTTTTCCTTCACTGTCTTTGTCCCATGCCTTTTACTTTGGGATTTCTGGGCATGGCTGTAGATATAGTCAGACCTCACTGCTAACATTGAGGGCAAAATAAGGGGATAACCTTTATTTTAGACATATGCTCTGTAGAACAGCATCATTGTGATGAATAGTCTAATTTGTGGTATCAACAGATTTCTAGTTACAACACAGGAAATTATGAGTCTGAAGATATTATTCATTAATTAGTTTAGTACACAGTATCTCTTATGTGCCAAGTGCTACATTAATCACAAAGATGCCATGGTGAAGAGGACTCCAACCCAGCCCAGAGAGCTTTCTGAAAGAATCACATCCTGGGCTCAGTCCTACCCTTACCAAGCTTCTTTCTACCTATTGGGTGGGCTGTGACTTTCTCCATGTTTCTCTCTGTGAGGTGGCACCTTTCCTATTGTCCCTTAAGATTCCATTTTAGTAAGTTTTTCCAGCCTTGCCTAACAATGTTCACTCTTACTAGTGAACACTCTCCTTATAGTATTTACCCAATACTTCACTATTTTAGGTTTTAGTCAAAATATATTTATTGAATGCTTACTACATACAGGACATTTGGCTAATCATATGTGGATGTACAAAAACACATAAAAGCCATGATTCCTAAGCTGAAGGAGCTTAGAGTCTACAGTTTCAACTTTCAACTGTCTGTGGGTACAGAGACATTGCCCCAATTCAAAGGCAGGAGGGAGAGCCTTGGGTAGGTTTAGTCAAGGACCCCCTCTTAACATTGGTGGTGTAGGGCATTTAGGATGGCAAAACAGTTTTAAAAAGAAAGGAAGAAATTTCTGGGTGCAGTAAATGTGAGGAAACAGGAAGGTGATGGGGCTAATTACACTTGAGCATTAGCATGAGCAGGCTGGGGGGTTAGCTGGCGCAGTTGGTTGCAGCTGGAATGTGGGGCTTTGTGAAGTAAGCCAGTGGTTTGGATGTTAGGACAGACAGTAGGGAGATACTGTGGGGCATGTGGTGAAGGAGGGATGATCTAAGCAAAATGGTGTGTTGGGAAGTTGAAGAGAAAGTTAGAAGAACTCAGATTTGAAAAGCTAAATTTTGGATCACTTGAATGTGAAGGGTCTGCGGGACATCCCAGTAAATCCTAGGAAGCTCAGTCAATGCCCAAGCAGGGCTCCTGAGGGAGAGGCTGCAGGCCTGCCCTCCAGCTGCAGCGGCTGCCACATGTTTGTCTGCTGTCCTTGGCATACCTGTCTGGTTTGTCCTGTTCTATCTGTCACTAGCATGGCTTCTTTTCGCTTTTGTGGCCCATGACTGCTGCTGAGGTCCCTGACACACACCATGGCTCAGTCAGCATCACTGCCTGCCAGTGGCTTCATCACCTGCTCACTGTGCTTCCTTTCCATTTCATCCACTTCCCGAAACTTGTAATTTTTAAGCTGAGGATCATAATTTTAAAAATTTTCTAAATTTTTCTAAAGAAATAGTAACACTATTAAATTGTTGACCAGCAATTTTGAATAGAAGCTATCCTAGGTCACCAGCTGTTACTCCGTAATTGAATATGAAAGTGAAATGATCAAAATAAACTTCAATCATTACCAAAAAGTAAATCTGTCACTTAAGTGACCCTCCACAGATCACTAAGTTCAACAGTTACACCCAAAATATCTGTATAATCCTCCACGGTTGATGTATTTTCAGTTCCACTCTTCTTCAAAATCACTTTTACTATCAGATTCTATTACATTTCTTTTTTGCCATTTTTGTGGTCTAATATCAGATTCACAACTGTCTTCCAATAAATTGTTATTTCCAGGTCACTACAAAATATTTCAAAATCACTTGAACTGTCACATAAATCATCTGCATATAATTCATTGAAAAATTCTTCACCATTACAATCCGTCATGGTTGAAATTTTTGCAATACAAGAATTATGATAAAAATAGGAATATCTAGAAAAACAACCTTTTTATAATAAAGTGAACACAACTGAACATGATCAAGAAAGCTCTTACAATATTCTACATTGCCCTGTGTTTTAAAAATTGCGATAGCTGATGCAAGTGCAAACATGAGTTAACTCGTGGTCAGTCAGTAACTTTTAGGCATGACAACACGCGTTAACTCATGACTGATCAAAGCATGTTAAAGATGAATTTCTCAGTGGTACATTTAGAGGAACTGGTCTTCATTAATCCCACTACACCATATTATTACTTTGGTCAGAAACTTCTTAACACTCAGATCATTCTAAACTGATGTTTCATATGCACATAAACAGTATGTCACATAAATAATTTAGGTTTTTGAAAGCCACCCACTAGCTTTGGAAGTATGGTGTTGAAACATAATACTTTTTTTTTTTCATTGGCAGGTCCCAGAGGTTCATAAGATTGATTAAAATAAATGTTTTCTTTTTCTTCTGATTGTACAGGTTTTTAAAGAGGGCTATAGGAAGCATTTCTGACATATAGCCAAAATAGAGGCATATATAATGTCTATTTCTTAAGAAAAAATACAATATTTTGTTTCTCTAGTAATGGCCATGTTGATAGTTCCTATTTTGGGGGAGGGCTTCTATAGGATATATCACCATTTAAAATAGTATAAAGCCAGTTTTGAGCATCAGATTGTTTACAACTCCATGAAATCAGCATCCCAGGAATTTCCACAGATCTGCACTTAATCCACTATAAGGTGAGATAAGTGCATCACAGTTATGGTAATCATGTCCTTTAACCCCGGTCCTATAGATTTCAACCCTGGATATACATGGTATTTCTTATGTGACTTACACTAAAAGGATCCTTGGGTGCAGTAACCTGGAGACTAACAGGAAAACGTTTAAGTCCTCAGGGGAACTTGTCTTCCTCTACTAGACCACAGGGGTGCGCTAGAGTTGCAGTGAGTGACCAATATGGGGGGGGGGGAGATGTCCAGGTTTGAGAAACAAGACAGTAACCACATCTCTGCACAGAAAACCAAACAGAGCCGTATCAAAATGGTGGGATAGGATGGCTTTCTGGGAAAGGAGACAGTATCATCCACATTTTAGGAATGTGCTTTAGACAAAATTAATATTTTTTAAAAAAGGTACATTGGCTCCGTGCCTGTAGCCCAGTGGTTAGGGCTCTGGCCACATACACCAAGGCTGGTGGGTTCAAACCTGGCTGGGGCCTGCTAAACAACAAAAAATAGCTGGGCGTTGTGGTGGGCGCTTGTAGTCCCACCTACTTGGGAGGCTGAGGCAAGAGAATTGCTTAAACCCAGTTGTCTTCAGGTTGATTTCTACCTGTCCTAGACCACAGGCATGCTCTAGAGTTGCAGTGAGTGACTAGTAAAAGTGGGAGGTTTGAGAAACAGATGTTGAGGTTGATGTGAGCTGTGATGCCATGGGACTCTACTGAAGGTGACATAGTGAGACTGTCTCAATAACAAAAAAAAGGCACGTGAGTGTGTGTGTATAAGTGGGCACGCACACACTTGAGACAGGGTCTTGCTCTGTCTCCTAGGCTCGTGTGCCATGGCTTCCTTACAGCTCACAGCAACCTCAGACTTTAGGCATTAAGTGATCCTCCTGCCTCAGCCTCCTGAATGACTGGGACTACAGGCACCAACAAAAAATAGACCTTTGTCTATTTTTCATAGAGACAGGGTCTCACCCTTGCTTAGGCTGGTGTTGAACTCCTGGCCCCAAGTGCTCCTTGGCCTCACAAAGTGTAAGGATTACAGATGTGAGCCACTGTGCCCTGTACACATGAGCTTTAGAGCTCTTATGTGGTGCCTGAATTTATATTTTTAATTTTATTTTTTGATTTTTTGGTGTCTGATGTTAAATGGTAAAGATACTATTTCCTTTATCCTTTACTTTTAATTTCCCTAATACAAGGCACCCTCTGGGGAAGTTTTTGGCAAGTGATAAAATTACCGATTATCCTGGGGATTAGAGGGTGAGTGCTCTTCAGGCAGGAGACAAATGTGGCTGCATTTAGAAAATATTTTGACTATGCTACTTGAAACAATCAGAGAAAAAACTGGCTAAGAGGGGGAGT